ATCAGAGATTGCCTTGTACATGAAAGCTGGACATGGCCCACTAATTATTTCTCAAGAATAAAGGTATGAACAGGTTTTACTCCGTACTGCATCTTATGTGCGCTTGCTTGAAATTTCTTGCTACCACAGTGTGTAATTATCTCTTGAGAGACACAGTTGGCAGTAACTTCTGAAAGTAACTCGTGACAGCATGCTTGCAGAAACTCATTGATTGCAGCAATTTTGTCTTCGAAGGCATTTTCGGACTTCCTTCGTTAATTCGTAGCATAGGTCTCAAGTTGGTTTTGCTGTCTAGTTCCCGCGAGAGTTAAGCTGAGGCTCTTGCAATGCGCTCACGTCTAACTCATAGTTTGCAGAAACTGGGAAATTTATTCTGTCATCGCAGTCTGTTGATAATCTAATCACATTCCATATTTTCTGTTTTGCTTTTCCAGGATCTGTAGTTCTTCATATGGACTTTATTGCTCTGAAAATCAGAGATTGCTTTGTACATCAAAGACGGAAATGGCCCACTAATTATTTCTTGAGAAAAAAAGGTATGAACATGTTTTACCTAATACTGTATCTTGTGTACACTTGCTTCAAATTTCTAACAGTGTTTAAGCACCTGCTAACCGCTGGGATGCGCAGCTGGCGTTAACTCCTGAAAGTAACTTGGGCCCACAACCTAATCAGATTTTATGGTCGCTAGATATTTACTTTGAATTGTTCCCGCATCAAAAATTAGTTGGTGTGTTGTCCGTAACTTGCGGCGGCAAAAAGCTGCAACTCTCAATCACTGAGCTGCACGTCATGTGTGACAACGGGAATCATTCAGACATTAAAAATTAGCTGCCGTGTTGTCCATACCTTGCAGTAACGGCTAGAGCCTGTTGAACTGCTAGCTGCAATGATCTAATAAAACGGACGTCTCAGTGAACAATAATTATATTAGTAAAATGCTATATTTATTGTTCACTGAGACGTCCATTTTGTTAAGTCACTGCAGCTAGCAGTTTAACAAGCTCTGGCCGTTGCTTCAAGGTGCGAACAACACGCCAGCTAATTTAAATAATTCCTGTCGTCGTGCGTCACGTGCAACTCTGTGATTGAGAGTTGCGGTTTTTTGCCGTCGCAAGTTACAGACAACATGGCAGCTAATTTTTGATTCCGGAACAATACCCGTATCCGTGCATCTTGTGCAGTACAGTGACTGAGAGTTACAGTTTTCTGCCATGCTTCTACCCAGGTCAAGTTACGGGGAAAACCGTGGGGCCTCATTACTGTCATGCACGTAATAGATAGTTAATGCTGTGACCGTGATGGAAGACAACACTAATTGCATCGGCATCAAAAATTAGCCGGCAATTTTTATTAATTTGACGGAATTTGTTTTTACAGTGAATGTACTTTTTGTCAGGATCTGATGAGCTTGGATTGTGTCTAACTCTTGACCGGGAATCTCCGACGAGTCCAGCGTGTAATCCACGGCGAAAGGCCCTGTACAGCGCTATTTGTAAGTGCTTTTTATTCTAATAGTCCGTGAGAGACGTTATGATTGGTTATTTTTGTGTTCGAAGTCATGTTTATTTCATTTTCGCTGTTAAAATATGGCTGTCTTCTTGGCGGTAGATGTGTGCTGTAGTAAAGTCCTCCCAGTAGGTCCAAAGCCGAATGCCACAGTGTTGAGTTAGTCCTTATTTGCCAAGATTCGGCTTGTTGGGTGCGAGTGGAGTGTCAGTTACGTCACTGCGATATGTGAATGTATTTGCCAGGAATTATCTTTACCCAACGAGTTTTTTTGTTATGTGACTGATTTATTTTAAATTCTTGATTCATTCAAATGTCATGTTCTGTTCAACTGTCATGTTCTTTCGTATAACAGGGTATTTATTGGACTGTTAATTTAGTAGTACATTTGACACTGGTTAGCTGAAGAGGGAGGCTAGCGGTTTGATTTTTAACTTGTAAATAATATGGAGGTAATATGGGTACATTTATGACTACATATTTCTGTGCCGCAAATACCGTAAGTCTTAAAACATTCTTTTTTTGTTTTCAAATCAACGTAGAAATATAGGTGTGAACTTAAATGGCAAGTTTGTAATTATCAGTTCTTAAAAACACCTGAAAAAAAAAATTTTTTTTTAAAGTCTTGTTGGGGCACGCGTGTCAAAGAAAATTGAAGCAAAAAAAGCATTTTATTTTACAGAAATATTGATGGCGCGAGGTGCCTTGCAATTAAGTCAGTAGTCACCTCCTTTCAACTGCTTTTCTCTTGGCATTCGGGCGTGTGGAGGAAAGGTGGATCGGCTTCACCTTCACGTTGAGGTGGAAAGAACGAATGACCATCTCGTTGAGGTGGAAAGAGCAAATGACCATTCTGTCATGTCATGGACTTTGCCCGCATAATTTGAAATCAATCTTTTGCCGTCAATATTGCTCTGAACATTTTTTTTTCGCATAAAATTCTTTTGACACGCGCGTCCCAACCAAACTGCTTAAAATAATTTTTTTTTTTAGAGGCCCTTTAAAGCTAGATGAAGGGTTGAGGGTCACTATGATGTTGCGAGAGTAGGCCTAAGCAATTTATAAATTCACCTTCCTACTATTTGAAAAAAAGAAAAAAAGAGCTCTAAATTCGACCTTGCAATGCATGTGCCTGCGCCTGCACCTGCATTCAGAGTGGCGCAACCAGTTCATTCACATGCACCAAGAAATTTAGAGCGCACATCTATTGTGCAGCTAGCTGCATGATGAAGTGGCACACATGAACAGCTTGCTATCTAGTAGTGTCGGTTGTGGCGGAGCTTAAGCAGGCCATAATGCATTCTTTGTTTTGACATGTGGCACATTTATCAATTATTTTAACTCTTGCGAATCACAACCTGTGTGTTCTTGGGTTGGGCTACTTTTATATATATGTATATATATTTTTTTTTATAGAATTTGTGCATTTTAGTATGTATAATTTTTTATTTTTTTATTAAGGTTAAATGGTACTTTATAGCAAATTAGCTCCTTGTAGAGCTGAAATTACATTTAGTCAATGGTCTCCCCAAACTGAGATGTTATATGCATTTGCTAGCTTTTTTTTTTGTAAAGGTGTAAAATAAACTATAGTATACGGCAGCCAGCTCTGAAACACAATAGATTGTTCACACTAATTAATCTATAAAAACTTGGACGATTCCACTTGGACAAATCCAGTTGTTAAGAAATTGTATTCATCCTACCCTTCGGGAAAGTCTGTATAAATATAGAGCTATGTCTTTCGCCACTGTGGGCAGAGGCCAGCTAAATTGCTACCGTTTGAAAGGTGGAGGGGTGATGTGCAGGGAAGCTAAGCCCTATCCCTCTCTCCCATATTGTCTGCTATAATTGTTTCAAATATCAAAAAAAGGGGGGGGGGGGCAACTGCCCCCTCCCCTTGCACCCTTGTCCCGATGCCACTGTCAGGGGGTAATAACTTGGGGATGCCATAAATAAATGCAACCACTTACGGCTGCCATTGCATACAAAGGAGAAAATAGAGAGAGAGGGAGAGCGATGTGGATTATCTTTCTCTTAGGTATTCATGTCAGAAGGGGTACTAATGGTTTTGGATGGTTGTGGCTGAGCGAGATAGCCATGAGTGCTGCCTAAGTGTTTGGTTCGGACTCGTGTTCAATCGGCAAAAAAGCAAGTCCCAGTCAACTATTCAAGTATATCCTATGAATGGCTCCTGGGATTTTCGAAAATGGTCTATTGTCTTGCAAATGAGTGTGCTGGTATTAACTAAAGACACTTAGCAAGCTGTTTACTCATTTTTAATATTGCTGACTTTACATTAAAGCTGGTGAACTTTCAGCTTTCTGCAATGCATAGTTTTTTTTCTTATTAGGTCCAAAAAAGTTGGGTATATCTTTCTTGATTGGATTCTGCATTATTGTGATCATTCAGCTGTGTTGAATGAAACATATGGGTTTCTTATCCCAGATTTGATATTTATTTTTATGCAGTCGGGGGGTGGTGTGTGTTTTGGCATAGAATTTTAGGAATTATTGCCATATAAGAATACACTTTCCATCAGAAAACTAAGCAACCTCATTCTTTGCAGCTCCTGCCATGGAGGTGGTAAAGAGCCTGGCAGCCCTGCTGAAGGATTCAACAGCTTCTCTCATTGAGAAGGTATGGTATTCCATTCTGATATAATTTCTAACCTCTTAAACGAAGTGAAAACTGGCTCACATATCAATTTCAGTATGCATGGTAACTCAGAACCCTGCTCGCAGGTACCTGTGAAGCAAAAGCAGCCAGGGAGGCTGTTCTAAGAGCAGCCTCTCTGGCATCTCGTAGAAAAAAAGAAACCTGCAGTTTAACAGAGATTCATCATCAGCAACTCGAAGAACACACAAAAAGCATCGAAAGAAATCAGAAGAGTAGCTTTAAAAAATATGAAGTTGTTTAAAAACTTGGTTTGCCAAAAAAACTTAAGAAATATTATAATGTGACTAAATATGGTGAAGGAGATGTTCAAACACTTGTTCTGCACCTGTTGCTGGGCTGACAGGCAGTATTGGTCTTATGCCTTCAGCCTCTATGAGAGATGCTCTAATAAAGCAACAAGCAACAGTGTTTTATATAGGCATGTATTACCTCAGCAGACTCCGAGCATACCGAGATACATACAAGAAAATGCAAATAAGCCTGTCGTGCTTATTTGGTAATTCTGGCAATTTATAAAGACAATGTGGTGTGAAGTGGGGAAAGAAAGTTTAGGCTTCAATCTTTGAGCTAGTTGAAAGGCCAAATTATAGCAAAAGGCAGGATATGGTGTTGTTGCTCTTATTGTGTGCTGGTGTAACATGAACAAATATTTTCATCTACAAATTGTCACTTTACTGAAGTGTCCCTTTAATGGTGTGCTACTTGATGTGCTATTTGCATTGTGTTGTATTTTTTTGGGCCCACGAGGGGCCACATATATTGCCGCGCATGATGTGGTGGCCGAGTGGGCACCACTCCTGGGTGTCATGCAGAGGTCCTGGGTTTGAATCCGGGGACCACTGCAGTTGCTTAATTACTCGAAAAACCCGTGGTTCTAGAAATTTGCTCACAGTGCTCAATGCTCAATGCCTTGTGTTGTAATGGTCTCATATATTGAACCGCCTCTACAGAGGTCAGGGAATTTCACCTGAAATTGTCAGGGAAAATCTGGAAAAGTTGGGGAATTTCAAAATAATAATTCGCTAGACACCCTGAAATTGCTGTAATTACCCCGAGGAGACTGAGTAGACTTTCTTTGGTAATTATCTTCCTTTCAAATACTACAAATTGCCCATGTTTCTTCTTCACAGGAGGAGGATCATGTCCAGCCAGCCTTCCCTGTGATGCAAGTCAGGGGAGGGGCCTCAAGTTCACCACTCACAGTGGTGCTGGAGGACTGCTCTTTCGAGGTAACGGACATTGTGGCCGGTATTGCGCTCATTCTTGCGCTATACTGGGTCCATGACATTTCCTGCTGTCCAAAAGCATCCTGGTCACTTGCTGTGATTGGCAACTTCATTGGCTTGACCTACAAGACCAAGTCATTCTTGGTACTAGATCTAATTTCAAAACTGGAAGATTGAGATCTTAAATGAGTGTATTTTTTTACATGTACATTAAAATCTGTTTTTTTAACGAGCACCGTATTACTGTTTTCACTCGACCTTGTATGAGGGCCTGTATGGGCACCCTCTGAAAAGGCTCAAGCAACACCTTTCGTCCTGTGAGCACATGCAGAATTCTCTTCGGACATTCGCATCCGTGCATTGCGGAGTGTTGTAGCTGTGAACAAGAAATGCCCATATTCGAGGGAAATAAACACCTTGCTTAAGGGATTCAATGTCTTGGAAGCTCTTTGTTTGCCCTTCTATAGAGTTCAGGCACACTACGTGAAAGGGAAAAGATAACACCTAACAGAGTGTACTTTTAGCTCTGACGTAGAGCTTAATTAACACTTCTTATGGAGCTGAAGTTACCCTTTACGAGGGAGTTAAAATAACTCTTGGCATGAGAGTGTAGCCTTGACCACTCATTAGAGTTGTTCTATTTGCACCTAAGAGAGTAGCCACAACATTCGCTTCGAGGGTACGTACAACACCACCTGTAGGAGTCTATGCTACTCTTCAAAAGTGTTAATTTTACACCTCATTTCAAGGAGTAACCGTTACCCTAGAAAAGAGTAACACTAACTCTCGTCAAGAGTAACTCCTGGTTACTCTCAAAAGTGTAAAGTCAACACCTCGTTTTGAAGAGTAATTGTAACTCTTGTCAAGAGTAACTCCTTGTTACTCTTAAAAGAGTAAAGTCAACACCTTCTTTCGAAGAGTAACCCTAACTCTCAAAAAAGGGTGGATTCTGCGACAAACCATTTACACTCCAAAAAGTGTTAAGATGACGCCTTTTTTTTTTAGAGTGTACAAAGTATTTGAGCACTCTATGTGTCTCAATTGTGCGCAGTTAGCGACGTTTAAACACGGGTGCGCTATCAATTTTCTGCTTTAAAGTTTGTTTGAAATATTGCGGAGGCCTGCGGTTTAATTCGGGCTGGTGTCAAATTCTCGTGCAGAAAACTGCGACTATAGCTGGGCAAAAACTGCCGTTTTCTGCTTAGGATTTTAAGACTGCGCAATATACGACAATATCTCGAAAATAAAACATTCCTCCATAATTCCTCAAATACGAAAAGACAAACTTCAGATATTTAAATATATCGTTGATTGCAGCAGCAACATTTTCAATTGAAGAAAGCGTTACTTCATAAGTTTCGATTGAATTCATGTATTGAATTGCCCGAGGGAAACGTTAGTATTTGAAAACATCGAGTTTCAATCTGTGTTGCTCTATTGATCTCATATGGTTGATTTTGGATTATTCGGTGGATGAGAAGATTAAATGCTTTAACTTTAATATTAACTTTGCAATTAAGAAAGAAATACGAATGTTTTATTTATTTATCGTTGCCCTAGTTTATAATGTCTAAATGTTGGATTGTTTAAGCAAATGCGACACATATACCCGGTTTTTGAATGAATTAAGGGTGGATATAACAACCTCTCCTTACACCATCTAATCTTTCAATCAAACTGCCATGTGGGGAAGCCATATGAAACTAGCGTACTCCAGCATACGTCTGATTAATCCTTTATATGACTTTTTTTTTTCTTTACAATTTTCGAGTTTAAGGGATTGTTTATGAGAAGAGAGCCTACGTCGAAGGGGAAAGGGGGGGGGGGGGGGGGTCTTGCTGACTACGTTAATAATGTTCTGATTCGGAGTAAATTTTGCGCTAAATATAACGCCAGGATTTTTAGAATGGTCTATATTTTTATTTCATTTCCGTTCATTGAATAGTTAAAATCCATTGGAATTTTTTTAGGTTAGTGTCATCGCAAGTTTTCCCGTAATTTATTTACATCTATCATCTGCTTGTGAATTCCTCTATATTCAGTAGTACACTATTAAGATATAATTTACTCAGAATGTTTTATTAGTACCTGGATGTCTAGCGAAATATCATTCACAAAAACGCTAATTGGAACCCTGTACATGTGAACGTTTGTTGAGAAATTAATTCTTCTGGTTAGGCCACTTGGGCGTCTGGCTTACCGGGAAATTCAGCCCGAAAATGTTCTTGCTCACGCCGTCCCATCGTCTTTTCGTCAACGATTGCATTGTTAGAAGTACGGTTGGGAGCGTTGATATTTTGTTAAACAAAAAGAAGTATCCATGAATATGAGGAACCTGGAACGCGTTATGTGCGTCTTGTCCTCTTTGATATCTTGGTGCTTTTAAGCAGGTGAGTATCGGTGTTTGACTTTTCAGCTATTTCAGACGTCGTTCGCGTGTATTGCTCTTTTTAACGTTGCAGAAATGTTATACTTGACTGAGAGGCTGCGACACAAAACGGATTCTGGGCCCAACTTTCCCGCTAAATTCATCCGGAGAATAGCGCCATACATATTTTATTAGAGTGCCACTCTAGACGTCGAAACCAGCCCACAAACGCAATATGCGTTAAAAAGCTCCTAAAAAGGAAAAAAAAATAGTTTTTCTTTTTTAACAGTCTAATTGGAACACGCGTATAAATATATATATATATATATTACGGGGAAAAACTATAGCGCGATATTGACGGTGAGAGACTGATTTTAAATTCTGTGCCCAAAGTTCATGACGTCGCTCTGTCCACCTCAACGTGAAGGCGAAGCCGATCCACCTCTCCTCCACGCGTCCGAAATGCCGAGAGAGAAAACAAGTGGAAAGGAGCTGGCTACCGACTAAATCAGGTCTCGCACCGTCAATATTGATGTAATTTTTTTTTTTCGTGTAAAATATATATATTTTTTTTTTTTTTGACACACGTGTCGCAATTAGACTATTAAAAAAATTGTTTCCGGGGGCCCTTTAAAACTTCAGAGAATCGAGTTGACAGCTGGGCTACTCTGGTCAGTTTGTTTCTTCTCAACGAAGGAGAGATGAATACAGTTAGGTGTAAATTAACGTTGCTTATGTGGCGAGCTGTAACAAATAAACAAATACACGCAAGGAAAGTAAAAAAAAAAATACCCACCGCTGTGTACGTTCACTCTTTATTTACTTGCATACGTGTATTTGGTCAAGAGGTGTGTGTGTCCATCTTTACTTTTATGTATTCAACTATTTGTTTTTAGGTAACCGCATAAACAATCTAATTGCGGTGCCTGCAACCCGTACCTCCACTTGTGTGTAGGCATCGAAATTTATTAAGTGACAAGACATGGCGTCACAGGAGCTGGCGTATCATTCTGTTGGGTGTCACGATCCTGGCGGTTGGTTCTAGAAGCTCCGGCAGAAAGTGCGAACGAACGCGAGTGCCACTGTCGTGCGGCGTCCCAACACTCGGCCGCTGAAGTAGTATGTCGAGTTGTAAAGTGACCTGCAGCAGAAGAGGCGTCAACCGCATCCGTTGTGCCAGGGCCAGGATTGCGGCAGAGAACAGCATGGCACTTCTCTAAGTCGGAGACGCGCTCCAGGCATTATACACGTAATGAGCCGACTACGCAGGATAACTCCCGTCCTTATAAACGCCATTCGGAGGCTACAGCTGACCACTGTGCGCGGTGCAGCACGAGCGACGTGTCGTACCAGTACCACCTGACGCTGAGCCCAACGGACGGTCATCTGTACCTGTCCGACCCGGAGCGGCACCAGATCGTGCGCGTCCACTCGCTGGACAAGGTGGAAGACCCGGACTCCAACTTCGACGTGGTCGTCGGCAGCGGGGAGCGCTGCATTCCCAGAGACCGGGACAACTGCGGTGACGGCAGACCCGCCCTTGAGGCCAAGCTCTCCTATCCCAAGGGTAGGAGCCCGCCCCTCCATCAGTGGGGATCGCTACCTTGATCACACGACAAATGTGGTAGTGACGCAGCAAAAGGCAACAGAGAGCAGGTTTATTTGTTTATGTGACCCGCGGAATTGCACGCAATCCGCGGGGTTACACCGCAGGAACCTAGAGCTGGCACAACGCACCAGCAGTGATATCGTTGATATCGCTGCTGGTGATATCAACGTTGATATCAGGGCAGCCATTTTACAGTGTTCTTATATCAAACTATACAACCCCCTCCCCCCTCTCTCCCGCCCTCCCCCCTCCCCCTTCCATCATGTAATGCCAAGAGCAGACATGGCTCTTGGTAGTATTGAAAATCGTAACTGACCAATGAGTACGGCCACTCATTTGGAAAAAAATAACCGAAAATCCGATGGACCTCGAAACATGTCAAATTTGATCACGTTATCTTCGAGAAACTAGGGTATATACTGCACGTAAATCGAACACACGGTTTCGTCAAAAGAATATATCTCTTATTTCCGTGGAATAAACGCCAGCCAGCGATTTGTTTAAAACAAACGGTGTAGAGCTCTTTTTCCAAATCCTAAAAATTGCGCGATATCCGCGCTGTTTTTTGAACGTGCCTTTCCGAGTGTACGGTTTTCTTTAAGCTTAGCGACTTAAATAACAGGTAATTTCTTTGTATATTCGTCTTTTACTTATGCCGCCAGCACTAATACTTTGTTTCAGTTGCGTTTTTGCAGCTCTTTGTGCAAGATGATTTCTTTGCGAATCGTAGTGATTTGACTCTCTGAATAATTTGCCGCAGAGTTGACGTTAACTGCATTCGGAGGCATAAAAAAGCGGATGTTTTGCTTGATTGCTGTGGCTGTAGGAAAGTTCTCTTTGTTGACAAGGCAAAAATGGTACGCAGGCATGGCGGTGGCAGTGGACAACAGTCTGTACTTCGGGGACGGCAACAACGTGCGGATGGTCGACAGCCGCGGGATCATCCACACGCTGATCGGAGACCATCAGCACAAGCGCCAGTGGAGGCCCATCCCATGCTCGGGGACCCTGCACATGAACGAGGCAAGCATGAGGCTCACAGGCGCCCGGGCGCAAACTTACCGCGCCTCTTATCAAGCATCTCGCCACGCCTCAATTGGACATTTTTTGTATTCTGGCGAAAGTGTCTCGATTTTACGAAACGGTTTTGTAGAATGTTCGTTTCGTATCGCAGGCCTGGCCCGGCTTGCTAGTCTTAGCTAAGGACCCCGCAGGAGTCACCTCTATGTGATTGGTGAATGAGGTCACCACGGACCCTGAGCCACTGTGGGTGTCCCACCCCCGCCTGACTGTGCGTGGCATCCCCGTGTCTGAGGAAAAGAGCATCCTGGTGGCTGAGCAGAGCCCGGGGTAGATTTAAACCCTCCCCCCCCCCCCCCCCCCCCCCACACACACACACACTTCCCAACCCACCCAGTTAGAGCAATACACCACTTCAGCCCCGCTTCTCAGAAACGGCTGTCCTGGTATGGCCCGGCCGGGATAATCCTGTCGTCGCCTCTTATAATACAGTTCCTTCTTATCTTTCACTTTTCTGCTTCTCGTTTTCCAAATCTCTGTATTCACTTTTTATTCTTCTTATTTAGCGGCAAGGGCCAAGATCAAGTGGCAGCAAATTTCGTTAACTCAACCTACTAGTTATCCAGCGTTGACGAACTCGCCGTCATTAGGTGACTTCAATTTAGTTGCTCGCGGCTGTTGGCGTTTCGTGTGGTTATCGCTTAATTTTGTGTACAAATGTGTCTGTTAGTGATAGCACACAACCAATAAAACAGTGCTACCGTGTCACTCTGACAAATTCGAGGTGATTTCAACCCGAAATTTCGGTCTTTTTTACGAACAGTAGATGACGCATCTAATCATGTTTCTCGTTAATTTCGGCGCGGTACGACGGCGAAACGACTAAACTGATGCGCGGTGAGAATAACCATCGTCTATAACAAAACTGGGCAACCATTTCTTTTTTAACAATATTAGACGAAAGATGGAGGTCTGCTGAGCGTCAATCGACACGACGCCGTTACTATAGGAGCCCTGAAATCCGGCGGTGCCATTTTTGGGAAGCGAGGGAAGCGAGGGAAAGGTTGCGGAGAAGAGAAGAAGAAAACGAGATAGATTCTTTATTATCATTTTGGAAGAAACCTCTCACCTCGCAGGTACCGACTCTCTCGATCCGAAAGAGAAAGGAAAGGGCTGGAGACGCTTGCAAAGAACGTGTAGGGATTCTATGACTTCCCTACAGCGTCGAGATTATTGCACCCTTCTCTCCCCTTTCCCTTTTTTTCGGGGCCAGGATTTTTGTTTTTGTTAATTCAGGGGCGTACAAGGGACAGCTTCTTTTCTTCCTTTTTTTTAACTTTAATGTGAGTTACGACCGAATGCACGTAGACCGGGGGAGATCCAAGATCTTCTTGGCGTGCACACGGAGAATATCATTCACGGAGTGCCCCATCTGATCGATGTAGTCGGCTCCGCACGGAAGAGAAATGCTGTAAACCTTCTCCCTCTTCCAAAACCGAAAGCTCTGGGCGTGTTCTTTTTTTTTTTCTTTCTTTTTTCTTTTTCATGTGGGCAGTGGTGTGGGTTGGCGACTCGCTTGCACATGCTTCCGAATTTAAACTTACAGGTGAAGAAAGAGGTCTCTGTTGGCGAATTGATCTGCTCGTGCCCGCGATCGGTGCACCGTGTTCTGTGAGTATAGGAATGCACACAGGGTGGTAAGACAGGACTTAGAAAGGGGCCTCCCTTGAACTGCTCCTAGACTGTAGAATGAGTTTCTTACTGATGTTATCAATGAGGTACACTGTGTACCTCATTGGCCTACAGAGACAGACTACCTCTGATCATAGGCCGCTCCCCCGTGCTCGACCACGGGGGTGCCTAGAGGCGGAAAAGATTGAGGAAGCCTTCGAACTGTGTCAGTTGGCTCAGAGACGGAGCACTAAAGAATATTGAGGCCGAGATTGCAATGCATGACCTTGACATCCAGCGAGAGTATGTTGTTTCCCTGATTAAAGTGCACTGTGCGGCTAAAATCAACCATCTGAAGAGAGCCCTGAACGCGGAAGGGGTGAGGGAGATCACCAGAGGAAACGTAAGCTTGTTGGTAGGCAGTTTTGCGGTTCAGTACCAACGTAGCTAGTTGAGCTAGCCGCATGAGGCCCGGGATATGTGATCACCTGATTTTTTTTTCTTCTTTTTCCTCGCCCACGACAAGAAGCAAAGGGAAAGGAGAGCTTTCTTTCGAACGCGTTGCGAGGTGACGAGGTGGAGAGGAGGGAAGCCATCCGGCCGCTGCGGGTGTTAGAAGGCAGGTAACACAAGCCAAAGACGTTGCCTTTAACGTCACACGACTCGAAAGAACTTGCGGTTTCCTGAACCCGCAATCTGGTTTAATTTTAACCGCGTTTAACCGCGAGCATCCGGTTGGCGCCGCACTTACCCGCTCAAGACCACAGGGAACAGGCAGCGAGGGAAGGCGCCCCTAATTGTCCCCTTGTGCTCGTGACTCGCAAGAGTAGCGCCAGAGACTGGCGTTTCTTTGTGCGCCTAAGCTACTGGAGACCTATCCCTCCCCTGGGGAGATTTCCACTCGTGACGCACACACATCCTTACTCAAAAGGGGCAAAGGAATGCAACGCTCACTGTCAAGTGCTGCGGTGCCCTTCGGTTTGTTGATAAAGCACTTTGGTGAAAGCTCAAACCACAAAATGACTGCCTTCGTAGTAGGCTCACAGGATTTGGTTCAAGAAGCAGTACTTGCGTCCTTCCTTTCTACCATAATTGAGGTAACTCATTACTTTTCTACCGTTAGTATAATTAACCACTCTTGAAGCTCTGTAATTTCTACTTTATTCAATTCACTTTTGATGCCAATTCTCACTGACAACTTTTTTTTTTTTAATTTTACATGCATGATGTTTTTTACCACGGCCTTGGGATACCAGCGCATACTGCATGTTTTGCACTAACACACTGCAAATTAGCTTTGTCGTTTTTCAACAATTCCTTCTCCACGGGGTGGGTGTTTAGTTTATGTACTTTTACGCAAATATTCAAACCATTAACTTATACACTCAAAACTCCGGATGGCAATTTGACTCTTTCATTGCTACAAATGTTCACCGCAGATTTCATTCAAACGAGACACGGTTCAAGCGACTCATTCAATGATTCACTCGTTCATTCATTAACGTCAGGCAGTTGGTTTATATTCTTTTGTCGGTCCGCCGCAGGCAAAGCTCCGCTGGCCGACCGAGCTGGCCATCAACCCGCTGGACAACTCGCTCTACTTCATCGACGACCACATGATCCTCCGCCTGACCAAAGACCAGCGCCTGCTGGTGGTGGCTGGCCAGCCCGTCTACTGCAAGAGCGAAGACGGTGCCACCCAGAAGAGCCGGATGGGCGACGATTCCGACCTGGGCACCCTGATCAGCTTCGCCTTCGGGCCGACGGGGATGCTGTACGTGGCCGAAGTGGACCAGAGGGACTCGTACAAGGTGCGCGCCCTGGGCCCGGACGGAGAGCTGGTCCACTTCGCCGGCAGGGACGAAGGCAAGTGCCCCGAGGGCAGCCCCTGCGAGAACTGCACCTCGTGTGGCTCCAAGAGCTCCCTGGCCGTGGACACCAGGCTGCAGGCCGTATCCTCGCTCACGGTGACCAGCGATGGCGTCGTGCACATTGCGGACCTGGGGAGCCTCCGGATCCTGTCGGCCGTGCCGTACCTGCCGGAGCCTGACGACCAACAGGAGTACCAGGTTGCGCAGCCCGAGAGCCACGAACTGTACGTCTTCAACAAGTACGGCCAGCACATCGTGACTAGAAGCATACTGACGGGGAAGACCAAGTACACCTTCCTTTACAACGTCAACACCAGTTTTGGCAAGTTGAGCGCCGTCACTGACACGTCTGGGAATAAGGTAAGTGCGAAGTTTACGCCGACGCGCACAATGTTAAGGCGGTGCTGCGTGTCTGCTTTCCTCCAGAGCGTGTCGCCGACGGTAGAGGGCTTTAAGGCAGTGTGGAAGCCAAGCGAATGGCGTGGCTATTTCCCCATCGGGAACTACGTGGAAATGCCGAGAATGAAGTGCCACGTGCTGAGTCTCCCACATTTCAATACGTACAGTCCCTTTCGTGGGAATACAAAGATTGCTGTCCTCAGATTTGCATAAGATTAAAAAAAAATTTTAGTCTCAGCAGCGCGATATTTCAGCAAGCTTGTGAGCGCCGAATAAGAAAATTAAATTTGCCGGAGCACATTTAACCTTTTTTAGTCATTTATTTGACACCAGTAGCAAATGGCTGTGCCTGCTTCGCTTGCCCCCGATGTCAAATAAAAAAAATAATTCAACAAAGAAGCGCTATGAATCGAATTTTAGTCCCTCAAAGAGGCCCTGACTGCAATTTAAAGCAAAAATTCGGGGAAAAAACGGAAAAAAAAATAAACACTCGATATTAACGCTTGAAATTATGGGGATGTACCCGGTTTTATTTCTTACCATCTGGCATCGTCTGCTAAGGTCTGATGACTGCGAACGATTCCCGCCTGATAGCTTCAAAAAACCTTTGAAGTATTTCAATAGATAATAAAAATGATCTCTGGTGACCGTTGCCTCATTGAACCGCCACATTTAAGGCTCGTTCACACAATCCCGCTTTCTTACGTTACGTTAAGAAAAGTCACCGGGAAATCTGTGCTTCGTATTGAGCGTGGCTACTAATTCAAGGAGATAGCCTGGCACGCGACTTTCGAGACACGCATGTTTCGGTGACTTCGACGTAACGCAAGAAAACGGTGCTGTGAGAAAAATTGAACCGAGCTCAACTCCTCACGTTACGTTACGACGAGCCTTGTGTCCTTGGTTGCCACGGTAACTCACCGTCCTCGCTCGTCGTCACCGTCACAGTCTCGAATGCATGCCAGGCTATGTTCTTGAATTAGTAGCCACGCTCAATGCGAAGCACAGATTTTCCGGTGACTTTTCATAACGTAACGTAAGAAAACGGGTCTGTGTGAACGAGCCTTTATTTTGCTCCCAACAAAGTCCAAGCTCTCGACTGTTGACGCCAAAATATTAATTTTTAAAAATGTTTCTGTTCTAACGTTCCTCATATTTCAGCACGAAATATAAAACTTTGTTTTCGGAAAACGCCATAAGTTTTATGGTTGAGAGCAGCCTAATGAGGCAGAAAATGGCGATTTTCCCCATGTCTCCCGTAGAGTCCCATGTATTTGCTGGTGTCAAGCGATGGCTGCTGGTGGTGCCACTCGACCACAGCAAGGCATGCCTCGAGCAGCGATCCAGCCTACTACAATTACACATCAGCAATCTGGCTGCCCCGATGTCTTTGTCCGCATGGCCTGTACACTTTTAGAAGATTGTGTGTGTAGCGCGTCATCTGCTCGTATCTCAAAGCGACGAGTATACGCACGTGTTGGGCTGTGACTGCCCGTCAAAGCTATCTTCACGCGCATGGGACTTGCATCCATGAAGTGTCCATTCATTACTGTGTTTGTAGGTTTGGCACGAGTCCTTTCTGACTCGCCATCACGTCCCAAAACTCAAGTGGAATATGCGGGGGCCAATGCGATGCAAATGTGTGGCGTGCAGCACTGTGTAAACTTGGCTAGTCCGCACCTTTACAACGTCACATAGAAAGGTTAACACTGAGTAGAATATACAACACCAGGTCTCTGAATTGTTAAGGGGGCTATTCCGACTAGATTCTTTATTAAGTTTCGTGTTCCTTGACTCGAGCTATTCGAAAGCTGAAATTAGGCGACCGAATGGCAACCGGCATCTCTCGGTCCTCTCGTGCAGGTGGCCTTCCTGCGAGACTCCGGCAACAGCCTGCACACCATCGAGACGGCCAGGGGCCAGAAGTGCAGAGTCCACGTAACGAAGGAAAAGCTACTGGAGTCGTTCGTAGACCCGGACAACCTGCAGACGCACTTCCACTACGACTCGGCGGGCCTGCTGGTGACGCGCTACGACGCGACCGGCAAGACCTTCCACTACATCTACGACGAGAACGGGCGCCTCACCGACGTCATCAACCCCAGCGGCAGGCTCACCAGCCTGTCGTTCGACCTGAGCGACAAGGGGGCGTCGGTGTCGGCCGTCCAAGAAGGGGCGCGCAGCGTTGTCACCGTCAAGGGTCTCACTGTCATCACCTCGCGAGGTGACTCTTCCTCTACCAGTGCCACCCGACGTCATCTCTTAATCTCCAGAACCAGCTATCTTTTCTCTTTTCTTATCGCGGCGTGTTTCCTTCTTGCAGGCGGTGTGTCCATCGAGACCATCTTGCACCAGGACGGCGCGGTGGAGGTGAGCACGCCCTGGAAGGCGGGAGCCGTCTGGGAGGCGGACACGCACCGAGTGCTGCGCGAGCTGCTCCCGGTCCAGGCCGGCATGTTCCCGGTGCCCGTGAGGCAGACCCTGTACTGGGACTTGGAGTCAGCCAACACGCTCCAGTGGCGCTACGACCTCAAATACTCGCGTCGGGACGGGCACCGCTCCATCTCCGCCGTCGAGAGGGTGCTACTGGTGAGGAGCAACGTTGAGTCTCCAAGATGACGAGGGTGCCGGGTAGTCTGTTTCACTGACCGGAGTTCGGACATGAGTGCTCTCGCACTTTCGGTGACGGAACCTAATGCTCGGGTCAGGTTGTATCACTCGTGTTCAGGCTGTGCCCCTGTTGTCCAGAAGCTGTGCTGGCCCAAGATCCACCTAATAATAGTCTCATTGGGAATGCACTGAATGTGCGCTTTTGTACTCAGTGTTGCCAATTTAGCTCTTTTCCCGCCTGACTTAGCGGTTTTCTTAGTCGTCTACTTTCACATTTTGGCTTCGGCCAAAAGTCCTCCAAAGTGTTTGTTGCTGTGACAAAACAGCCAATTTCGACCTTCTTGAAACATAGGAATCACTAAAGACTCAGGAGGACGTTATGGTACTTCTGATTTAAATTTGACACAGACGAAGCAGAACGCTTCGCTTACACGGCCAAACGCATTCCCATAAAACTAATTTCGCCAAGGGGCTTAAAGTGCTACTGGTTAGTAAAGGAAAGAGTTTACAGTAAATGAAGAAAAGAAAGGAGCGCAGAATTTAGCGCTTTTCACCGTAAGAATTACGCAAGCAGTGGAGCACGTAGCCGAATACAGTCGCTAGTCAGCACATTTCGAACACGTTGGAAAACTTCATACCAATAGTATATCAGTTGCTTCACACGTACAGCGAGAGAAGTAAAACACGCAACGACCTGAACCGCACACGCTGAAAACAGAGCAGCGCAGAAGCATTTAAAAACATGTTGCGCAAAACACCTCCACGACCGGCATGCTTACTATAAACAAAAAGGAAACGAGAAAACCTTTTCTAGGCCTTCGAAATTATAACGCCTTCGGATTAGCGACTTAAAGGCCGACGACCAGACTTGAGCTTCTGCAAGGCAGAAGATCCTCCTCACCATTGGGGGGAGAAGGAAACAGGCAACGGTGGACAGTGTAAAAGGGGGAGGAGGAAGCGAGGGAAAAGTGGAAAGCGCGAACTGGTCGTCAGTCTTTAAGATTCTTGAGGATTTTTTTTTCTTATTTTTAAATTCATACATTTTCCACATGTCGTTTTTTTTTTTTTTGTTTTTTCTTTTTTTTGGAAGAAATAAGTATTTATTCCTGCACGTAGCCAGGGTTCTTTAGTGAGACCAGCCGCGAAAAGGCTAATTGGGGCTTCCTCTTGGAAATTTGAGCGTTGGTTTCAGTTTTTTGAATTCATACTCCGCTGCACATGCTTACGCGCAGCCCGACGTTGTCCCAAAAGCGCTCCAAATCTAGCCGTGAGCTTGGCTAACATGGAGCAGACTGGAGCGCGATTGTATTGTGTGACCCCGCCGCCTGGCGCCCCACCTGCAGGTGAACGGCACCCAGTACCTGACGACCGAGTACGACTGGGTGGCTGCCAGGGAGATCCTCTACAACAGCTCTAGGCGCCCGTTCCTGGTGGTGCAGTACGACAGCTTCGCCCGGCCCGTTCAGTGGCTGCCCACCGAGACCCGGATGCCCCTGAACGTCATGTACGACCGCCTCGGCCGCTTCTCCGGCTGGCAGCAGGGCCAGCTCTCGGAGACCTTCGTGTACGACCGATTGGGACACCTCTCCGAAGTCAAGTTGGCCGACAACGCTGCCATCAAGTATGCCTACGACTCCATCAGCAAGGTAACGAGCTCGTTTTTGACGGGACCTTTGCCAACCTAACACGCCGCTGCCCGAGTGAAAGAGTGACTCTCGCACGATCAGTGTCCCCACGGCTCAATGCATACACGATGGAAACAATCTCGGAGAAATCTTGTCACGCGCTATCAGTTTCGTGTGAACGCTTGCTGCGGACGTGGTTTGAAGCAAAACTCGTCGACGTCGGAGGCTCTATTTTACTTCACAGAGTTTTTACCTGCAATTTCGACACGATCATGAGCGATAAAGTAACATTCACTGGGATGTAATTAGATTGACAGTTATTGGACTGCCACTCACCCAGCTCCATTTATCTACCCTGAATTCTGGTTCCCGTTTGTCAATGTGGATTGATCACCACTATTTCGAATACCGGATGGCGTTGTCTGCTAGTCGTAGAAAAGGCTGCACCTTGCCTTTTCTACGGCTGCGCCGAACCGGTGGCTCTTTCCGAACGAGGTTTCGACCTCCGAGAAGGAGAAGAAACTCCTGGAAGGATACGAAGTTTTTACTAGGATGGGAAATAAAAGTAAAAAATGATACAAATAGTGAGTTAAATCCAGATATAAATCGTGAGCTAAATCGTTATTTACATTGTGAGTTGAATGATGATTTAAACCCTGAGATAAATTATGATTTAAACTAAAAGTTAAATCATATGGAGCAATATTTAAGCCACGATCTAAATCAGACTCTTTTTACTATGGTGATTTCATTCAAATATTTGCTACAAACCTAATCCCACAAGTACATTTTATTTGCCGTTTGTCTTTCATTTCCTGCTTTGACGGGTATTGGTTTTGTATTTAAATGGAAATATAATTCAGTGAACAAGATTTACATCAGTCTAAACACCAGCAAATGCAATGTGCTAGCAAATCAGAGCGCTGAGCTTTCTTTCTACTTTCCACTTCGTTCCTCAGTTGCGTAGCGCATTACTCTGCGCAACTCAAAATACAAAAAAAAAAAAAAAAAAAAAAAAAAAAAAATTTAACAACTAAAAAAAGAAAGCTTTTTTATAATAATAATAAAAAAAGGGAGTTGAAATACATAGCATAACGGACGAAAACACAAACCGTCTCAAATATATTTTCGTTTATTCCCAGTTTCGGTTTTCTTTGTTATGGAGCTCATATTTGCCCGCCCGCCTGCGTATTTTCACTCCCTTCGTAAGTTGTCTTTCTTCTAGTATGGCGGAATTCGCACCAATAGAAAGTTGTTAATTAAACTGTATACTTTAAGTATCCAGTTTCTAACTGTAGAAAACTAAGTCCAATCAATCTGATTTAAATCATATAAATCTGATCTAGATCAAATCAGTCTGAGTTTTTTTTTTTTATTTAAAAACAAAATCCTTATTTTTTTTGCACTTTAGGTTTTAGTGACTAAAACCTTCTAGAGACGCTACAATGGAGTAAGTCAGACATGACAACCAAGAAACAAAAACAAAAAAAAAAAAAAAAAAAAAAAAAAACGGGGACGGATAACACGAAAATTCCATTCAGAGTCTAACTGAGCAAAGACATCCTTAAATAGGCCCACGATCCGCCATACGCACTAAACTTCTTTTCTTTTTAAATATAAACGTTGTTTGTTTTTAACAGGGGCTGCGAAAGGTATGGGGTTTAGAAGTTATATTGAAATATAAAAGTTCACATAAAATATACAATTGAATGCAAAAAAAGAACCAGAACAAAACCTCCCATTAAGCCTAGAATACGTGTATATACAGAAGAGAAAATTAAAACATTTTACACTTCAGTGGTACAAGAAATACATCTGAACAGTCAACACTAGTTATCACTTCTGTGACGAGAAAAAAAAAATATTTAAAAGCTTATAATGCATAAATCTGAAATAACATTTGAAAAACTTCCGTGGGCATCTTATCTACATAATATTGTGGAATAGATTATTCCAGTCACCTAAAGTTATTTTGAAAAACGAATACCTATATGTGTCGATATGATATTTCTGTGTTTTAAACTGGTGTTTCTGTGTACAACTAAGCTATTTTTAGTCGCGAAGATTTAGAGTATAGCTCGAGCCGACATTGTACAAGTGATGGGAGATCATCAGAAATGTATTTAATCCATCTAATTGTCATCGAACCAAGAGCAACGGGAGATGAAGTTGGGTCAAAATATTATAACAGAATTATGTCGCTTTTTTAGCTCGATAAAATAAATTCTGCCGCATTCCTTCAAACCATTTTCAGTTCGTCAATTTGATTTTTTTTTTTTTTATGAGGGTCACACACCATGGACGCGTATTCTAAAGTCGGCATAATATACATTTTGTACGCCATTAGTTTCCCTACAGGTTTAGATTTAAGATTTAAATTTATATGATAAAACTTTTTTTTTTTCATTGGAGTATGGCCAATTTCATTGATGTGTTGGCTCCAACTTAAGTCCCTTCAAATTGTGACTCTTAAATCTTTAGAACTTCAGCCAACGAAGAGCCGTTGAAATTGGGTTGGAAGAAGAAGCAAGTGAAGTAAATTTTCAGCTGCGTTGGAAACTTTGTGTGTGTGTATGTGCGTGCGTGCGTGCGCGCGCGTCTGCGTGTGTGTGTGTGTGTCGTTTTCGCGCGCTGCAGCCTCGGGGTTGTGTTACGTCTAGTAATATCCACCAGCCCGTTTGCGGTCCGACTTTCTGCTCAGGACTCGGACATTTCGCTGTGCATACCTAACGTTACTGATGACCTGAGTCAACTTTATGTGACCACCCTTGCCCGTGTCATCTTGTAGTCATGTTTTAACTGATGCGTAACGTATACCGTGTTTTATTACGTAATCATCGCTGCCTCTCAATATACACCAACTCATGTTTACAAACAAACCGGAGCGCCCCTAGTGGACGCCACCGGCGCCGCGCATGCGCGGTGGATGGTGGGCAAGAAGTCCGCCGTCGCCCATAAACAAACCATTGAATTGCGTTGTTGTAGGCGTCGGTGGGAGTCCCCGTGCTCTTTTTCGCGTTGGAATTGTTGATTCTACGTCCTCCTACCAATGTCTGACTACTTGAGCGGCTTCAACAAAACTATCGAGGCAAAACTTTGCGTGAATAATGCGACGTGCGGCGATTCATTTCACGTGGACGCCGCAGAATGGGCGCTAAAGCCTGACTCCCACGATGAGATTCTGCTCGCTATTTACAGTCGCAACGTCGCTCGGACTGCAAAAGCGTGGACCGTAGCTGAGATGGTGGACATCGATACTGAAAACCGCAAGTAGAATCGGGCATTACAAGTAGGTGATGGCCACTGATAACAATGATCAACAACTTCTTGTATCTGTTTACACTTAGCCGACTTACCCCAACCAACCTTCAAAAGTGTTTTGAGGCCTGCACTTAGTTCTTATCGCAAGTACCGGGCCCACGTTTGGTTTACGGGCCGGTGTTGTTTGAACGAACTGACGACAAAAAGCAGCCAAGTTTGAAAGAGCAGACGACAGTTCGAACGCACGCGCAATGGAGTACGGGCAAGAAGCACCGCGTCCCGCGTCAACAAACCATTCGAATGTCACGTTGTCGGCGTCTGTGTGTGTCTGCATACTCTTTTTCGCGTTGGAGTTGTCGATTCTACGTCCTCATCGCAATGTCTTACCACTTCAATCGCCTGAGCGAAATTATCAAGGCTCGTTACGCCGCTAAACTTTCCGTAAATAATTTGACGTGCGGCGATTCATTCGCATGAACGCTGCAGAATGGACGCCAAAACCATGATGAGGTTCTTGTAGCTATTTTCGGTCGCGACCTCGCTCGTGCCGCAAAAGTGTAAAAGGTAGCGGCGATGATCGACGTCGATACTGAAAATCGGAAGCGGGAACAGACCAAGCGTAACAAGTAGGTGATGGCCACCGGTACCAATAATTAACATCTTGTATCTACTGTTTACACCGAGCCTACTTAAGTATTTTGAGGCCTGCAATTACTTCTTATTGAAATCACCGGGTCAAAGTTTGGTCTACGGGCCGCTTTTGTTTGAACGAGCAGACGACAAAAAGCAGACAATTTTGAAAGAGCAGACGAAAGTTCGAACGATCAGGCGGCCGTGCGAATTTGAAGACGCACTGAATCCGTGGGTGGTCCGGACAACTTGGGGTTTTTCTCTCGTTCATGTTGGAACAAAGCAAAAACATCTGGTGACCACAAATTGTGGCCCGCACACGCAATCGTAGTTCGACAGCGTCTGGTTTGCCCTTTTCACGGCTGCTATCCACGTTCTCGGACGAACGGAGGGGGCAGAAACACATGAAAACTGATCTTCAAACCTTTCCAGACTCTCTTGGTAAAGCCCCCATCGCAGCATTTTGACGAGAAGGCAGGTTTTTTGTCTCGTTTTTCCAAAGGAACACAGGAATGCATGTCTGGCGCGGCGACTTCTGCCCACCGCCCCAGACCGGAAGTGCGTCCGGCGCGCCACCACCGCGGCGTGACGTAGGAGAGTTGAGTTGGTGTATATAAAACTACGGGAGTGCAAGTTTAGTATACAATGAAGGAACTAAAGTACCTTGAACATGTAATTGACTGCGTGCCCTCGTTGCGTTTCAGCCCTTTAAGGTCATCCTCCCGAGTGGACGAACCTTCACCTTCCACTACGACGAAAACGGCGGGCTGCTCCACGTCACGACGCCCAAGGAGACCCGGCATTCTTTCCTTGTGCTGGTATCCATCGGTTTCTACAAGGTCTACTATACGCCTCCGGGTAACTCCGGACCCTGCATAATCCACTTCAACGACCGAAGTCTGCCGATCCTCAAGATATTTCCCGGAGACAAAGGCCGCGTCCTGTACCGCTACAACGAGCAGTCTCTGCTCACCCTGGTCGTGTTCGGGGGCGGCAAGGTGGAAACCAACCACACGGCCACCGGCCTGGTCAGGTCCGAAGCCTGGAGCGAGGAAGACGTTGAGGTGCGCCACGAGTACTACTACGACGGCGCCTTGCTCACTCAGTGCGTCGCGCGATTCTACAGCAAATTCCAGTTGACAACGGCCAACTTTCACTACCGCTACAACAAATGGTTTCGGGTCAAGTCCCTGAGCGTCCGCATCGGAACGCTGCAGTTTCCGGAGATGGAGTACGCGTACTCCCCCAAGACGGGACGCCGCGAAGTGGTGGGCAATTTCAGGTTCTTTGACGTGAGCCCCAACGAGACGGCGGTGTCGGACGGGACGGCGACCTTCGTGCAGCAAACCGACCCGCAGCACAGAGTTCACCAGCGCTCGCTGCTAATCGGCGACAAGGAAATGTATCGCATGGACGTCCAGTACGGAAACCGAGACGGCGTCATTCAGACCAAAACACTGATGCGCTTGACCGGCGGTGTTCAGCTCCGGACGCAGAACTTCTCTTACGACGAAGACGGGCAGCTGACCGAGATGATGGGCAAGGATCACTGGAAGTTTAGCTACGACGCGAACGGGAACATCGTGACGATGCAGTACATGGGAAACAAGATCGAGATTCTGCACGACGTGGGGGACCGCATTCTTCGATTCGGAGAAACGCCTTTCGTGGTGGACGGACGAGGGTTCGTCGTGCAGAGGGGTGAGGAGCGCTTCCTCTACAACACTAAGGGGCAGCTGACGAAGGCCTACAGGACGCGACGAGGCAAGTACGAAGTGCGCTATTTCTACGACGCCCGGAGCAGGCTCGCCATGCGAAAAGACCACTTCGGCAACATGACGCAGTTCTTCTACGCCGATCCGGCCAATCCGCGCCTCGTGACGCACGTCTACAACAACGCCGACGGGAGGAGCATGAGTCTGGTGTACGACACGAACGACTTCCTCATCCACGTGCTCGTCAACAAAGACAGTTACTACGTGGCCACGGACCACAACGGAAGCCCTACCCTAGTGTTCGACAAGTACGGCGAGGTTGTCAAGGAAGTGTACCGCGGCCCGTACGGGCACATCATCTACGACTCGACGCCGCTCTTCTACGTGCCGGTCGACTTCCAGGGAGGCATCTTCGACCCGCTCACGGGGCTGATCCACTTCGGAGAACGGATATACGACTCCCTGATGGGCAAGTGGATGACGCCGCAGTGGGAGGAGGTGCTGCAGCAGGCTTCCAACGTGCGGAAACTTCACCTGTACCAGTTCAACCAGAACGATCCCGTAAACCTGAAGAGGGACCGTCGCAGTAAGATGGGTGAGTGATCTCCGAAGATCTTGTAGGAATGCTCCTACAACGGGGGTGCCATGTGGGCCTTTAAGTACCGACTCTGATCGAAGAAATAAAGCCCGGTCTTTTGACCCTCATGTGGAAAACTACGCAATGTAGAAAACTGGAGTTCCGTGAAATTGTGACGCATAGCGGTGGAGAGAAAATGTTAAATTTTGAGACCATGATGCTTACTGGAGCAAAATGACAAGAGAAGAACGATATGTCTCTACATGCCAACATTTGTATAAGCCTAATTAATGTATATCACACAGATAAAAATAATTTTCTGACTGATGTAACACCCTATGTCAGAAAAAAAGTTTATCAGCGAGAAAGATGGTATTATTGTATTTCTTGATCACAAGAATTTTTCACTGGAATAAATTTTGCAGGCGCCCAAAACGTAATTTTGTTTGGCTTCATAAATAATATAATTAGGTGGACGTCGGTTCACAGAGATTTAATTTTTCGCTTGTATTTTTGTATCTACGTAACGTAATGTTCTCAAACGTTGGCATTCTATCACCACCGCCAGCGTCACATTTTCACCGAATTTTATTTATTTTTTTTTTTTTTGATACGTAGTTGTTTATGCGGGCGGAATAAGTAGGCTTCATTTTTAATCGTACCCGGTAGTTCAGCAGCGCCTATCTTGTCTTATATGAATCCTATCCAGAACATTCGGTTTTCAATGTAACAGTGGCGTGGGTAAAAAACAACGGAAGGCTCCTTTTGGCACGGAGCGATTTTTCGAAAGTTAAATAAAAAAATGAAAAATAAAAAATGACTTTGAATATAAACCTTGAACACTCATAAAATAGTCGCGAGTGTGTCTCATTTTATTACAAACTTTCGGATTTCATGTCTGAAATGAATAAATCAACTTATATTTCTTATAGTTTCTGATCTGGTGTATGGAAACCATATCGTATTAAATTTTGGCTAAAGTCGGAAAGGTCTTTACGTTATAGTGCCTTGAAATAAAGTACAAATCATCCCGGAACAATATCAATTTTAGCTATTTTATTTGTTTCCGAACGCTTGTTCCGGTGCACCCACGTATTGAAAAATTCAGTTTTCCATTGAATACGTTTACCACTTTTCCAGAATGACAACTAAAACTACAACTCGTTAAAAATATATATAGACATATTTACTGTACACCTAATTGAATCAGGAAACAAATACTATATCGTTGCAAATGCAGCAACGCATGTTTTGGCATTTGCACAACCCAGCGAAGCTCTGCCATGTCCGGTCGTGATCCTAATGAGACAAAAATAAATCGGAAAAATTGCTAAATAAACGCGGCCCGTTGACGAGAAAGAAACTCTTTCAACATAAGATCTAAGCGGTAAACGATATGTTTATCTCGTTTAAGGATATTGTCTTTGATTTAGCAGTTGGAAAGATAGGAAAACGGCAAAATGTAGATTCTACCAATATACACCGAGAAGCACAGTGGACCGCTTCCCAGTTGAGGGGCAGCAGGGCAATGTTTTCCCGGATCATGCACCGAGCTGCAGCGTGGGGCAAGCTTGCTCCAGCCTGGCTATCCGGCCTAGCAGTTCTATAGGGTTTTCTTGTCTAGCCAATCTTGGCTCTACGGCACAATTGACCATTCAAACATGTTACGGCAAAATAAATCGATGGGATTTAGAGGACCTTTTTTTTAAAAAATACCTTGTTAACTATTTCTCAGACAGGTCGCAGTCAGTCAAGAAAATACTATGGTGAGTAAGAAAATAAACATTAACTTCGGAATACCACTGGGATCGGCATTGGACCCTGTATGTTATTCAACATGCAATAATCATCGAGTCTAAATAAATGAAATATCAATGATCTGGGAAAGGTAAAACTGAATTCTTCTTTTTTCAACATGCGGATGTCTCCGCACTTATTCTCCCACATGAGGATTGTGAGAGAGCTGTTCCATTGTTTTAGAATGATATATCTACGATAATAAACTGTTTTTCAAGTAATCAAATCGTCTTTAACTTCGATAAAACTAAACTAATGCGTATCAGAAATCCACATGTGCAAGCGTAGACTTTTAGGTAAATTACTGTTTTTAAATCAGGATCGAAGTGAGCACATCTATGTAAAGATGAATTATGAAGGTAATGCTAAGTATTTAGGATTAGCTTTTGACGAGTGCATGGAGTGGAGAAAACACGTGGAGCACGTTAAAAAGCGATTGGGAGTCGCTTCAACATATATATACCGTAATATCCCGAGTCATCGCCCATCCCCGAGCCATCGCCCACCCGTTTTTTGGGCCAATATCGATTTCCGAAAAAGCACCGAGTCATCGCCCACCCCTTCAAATACCCCAACGCGGACCCCGCGATCCGCGAACACTCATCCTACCCGAATGACGCGGCCGCGGACCTTACAGTTGGAGTACGTCCGTAACAAAGTAAAACGAAGGAGGGAAAGACTTCTTTTTGTTTACGCATTTCCTCCGTGATCGACCCCGAAGTGGTCGTGTATCCGTGCGAAAAGAAAACGATGGAGATAACAAAATAAGAGTTTGTTAATGTAACCGCGGAGTGTTAGGTCAAAGTCTGTCTCCGCCGAAGTAAGGTCACCGCGAACCCGCTCCTTCTTCCCGCCCGTCGCGACCGCGGTTGTGCAATATTTTAGGCAAAGCCAAAGCGTAAATAAAGCTTTGCTGGAACGTCCTACACAGACGTTTGCAGAGCGTCCCAACCGTGCATTGATAGCCCGCCGTGCACGGACGCACGTATGTACGCACCAAACAAGAAAGTTGCGCAAGAGCTTGCAATTGACAAGGCCCGACTTGGCCCGACGCCAAAGTATTTGCCAACGCGACCGCCGGCTTTCCCGCTTTCCCAGCATCGCTCTTGGTCGCTTCTTTGGTCCGCTCGCTCGCTCGCTCGCTCGCTCGTTGCGCCTGGTCGGTTTTTCTATTTCGTTGTAAACTTTTCTTTCTTTCTTTTTTTTTTTACTAACTAGGAGAACATAATGGTGACGTTCTTTCACGGAACAAACGTTCGCGCTATATGCAGATCGGCGGTGTTAATAGCGCGTATGCAAGCAACGGACTTCGCTATAGTTGTAAAATATTCTTTCGTGAGCATTTTTTCTATGAAACAATGAAACTAAATCGAGTTTTGAGTTTGATGTATCTCTTGTGCATCAGCGCTAGATACGCAGAGAAAAATAGGCGGGTTTTTTCCGTTTTTTTTTAAGTGTTTGTGCTCACCCACCGAGACATGGCCCACCCCACTTTTTTAACGAATTTCAGGCGGTAGGGGGGTGGGCGATTACTCGGGATATTACGGTAGTACCAACTTCGAAGCGGCGCGGATTCAAAATTACCGCAAAAGGTTTACTTAGCATTGGGCGAATCTGTTCTTCGATATGGCCTCAGAGTATATAGATCGTGTTCAGGTGGCAGAATTTAGGGTTTCAACAAAATAAGTTTCAGAATACTTAACAATATTGCATACGGATCAAAATATGTGAAGTTATAACCCCTTCAAAAACACACTTAAAACGTTGAAACAGCGCAAAAAACGACGGACAGGGTAAAGAAGGACACGGACAGAGCGCTGACTCGCAACTGAATTTTTATTGGACTCAACGAAGAAATATATAGGCACAATTGAGAACAAAATGAAGAAAATCAGCCTAAAAAAAAACACCCAAAACAAAAGCACAAAAAAAACGAAGTATCACCTCTAAAAAGACAAACAAACTGCATGCGCACAAAGCTAATCAAGTGGCCAGAAGTATGCCCTTTTAAGTATGTCATACCAACTCGCCCAGGCTTCAACTTTAGCAACTTTTTCAAAAACAGGTATGTCTGAACATAATGCCGCTCGAGAAACTGTTCCAATATGTTATATAATCAAACCTTATTATTCAAATAGCGATTTCAAGAAACTCCTAAAAACAAAACCTCTAATACACTGTGATAGATATGCACTACCACGAATACACACAAATTACGGGAGGCGTACACGAAATTACTATAAACCTTATCACCTTAATAAACTTCCGCGTGATTTACCTGTCTTACGTCGCAAAAGGAGGTAAAAAATGAGTAAAAAAGTGGTGCTTTCAAAACGATAATTAATAAGCGTGAGACATCGGTTTTTCGGAAAGGCAGTATAGTGTTTAAATAAATAAAAGATGTACAGACTGTTGTGTATTGTATTGTATACATATATATTTTTTTTGGCGTTGGTAAAAGTGTACAGATTGGCTGTGTGTGTTTTTTCGTAGTGACATTATTTGCTCAGTGAATGAGATTATTATTTATTTTTGTCGTTTGTTTTGTTTTTGTGGCTATTATGTGTTTCAGCGCAAGATGTGGAAAGAAAAGATAAAAAAACATGAGCACAAAGCTGACTTCCAGGCTCCGCCCCACAAGCCCTTCGGTGTGGACGGACCCGATTGAATCTATTATTTTAAAATGGAGTAATAAATATATCATATGCAGCCAGGGCCAAAGTGGCAGTTCAGTGCTCAGCCAAGATTCTCCAAACGAAGTAAATGCAGGTGGCCCAGGTTGGGAATTCACTTGTCACTCAATCTTGGTAATGCGGGGACTTTACAAACTACCCCAACGTTACCTTACCCTGTCATTCAAAGGAAGTCTTTGTGTCGTCTACTCAAACAGCATACTATATTTTTTCTACGGTGCCACCGGATGACACTTTGGGCCACATCTGATGCCTTATAAAAAACAAAAATGGTCAGTAGTTTTGTGAGAATACGTGAACAGTAGATTGATGGTTGACAACATGTGCGAGTTGCTGTATTTCTCAAATGGTGGGCGTGCGAAATGGAGCTGCAGAATGGAATAAAGGTTTGAAACAAGGGTCTTTATTTCACGTTCAGCACATGGTGCTGGCTAACAATTATAAGGCTTGTTTCGTCGAACCGTCATGGGTCCCACGGGGGGTATTGCAAGAGCTGCCCCATTCCACTTTGCCCACGTGGGGCCCTCGTGGGGCCCAGGAGGGCTCCACTTCATGTGGTACCTCAGTCAGATCAAAAAAAAAAAAAGAAAAAAATAATCAAGAAACGTCAAAGAAATTCCTTTATTGGCAGTTCCGAGGAGTTCCGGGGTGGGAAATACTGTGAAACGCCAGGCTGGCAGTTGACCGAATTCACCGGTTGGCGCCGTTCTAGTCTATTAGGGTCAAGGCCCAATCCTGCACCCAGCTAGCCCAAGCACGTTTGCTGTCTGGGAGGTATTTTTTAGAATGTGTTTGCCCCAGGGATTGTTAGACGTTTGTATATTGATTGATTGATTTCTTACATTGGATATCTCTGACTAGATACCTCAGACGAAGTGTTTGTAGCAGATAGTTTTGCGAAGATATTCAAACATCCCTAAAAATATGATGCTTGAGAAAAAAAGCAACTCTTCCCGGGAACTAACTGCCAGCCACTCCGAACGTAAGGGCTGGAGAGAACATACTAATTAGAACATCAATGAAGTTAAGTGTACTAGTTCAATTGTTCATCTGTGAAAATAACATAGGGTTGAGCATCATCGAAAACCACTATATCAGTCCATTCAAGACGAATTGAACCAAGTGGGAAGCGCGGGGGTACGCTAAAGTTACCACTCGTGCACCAGGCACAAGGCCGGGACACGAAAACGCGAACGGTATGAATATCATTCGCGTTTCCGCATCACTGGTTTTGCACCTGCTGGCCGGCGATCTTGCTGGGCTAAAAAATACGAATATCTGACTCCCGTGCAGATCTCAACGACTGGATCCAAAAGCAAGGGATCGACATCAGCAGCCTGGGCTTGGGGCGGCCTCCGATCCTGAGGGGTGCCCCGGCACTCCTGTTCCCTGGTAGCCGGACGTATAACCTGCCGCTGCCCTCCGTCCCGCTGGTGTCTGGCTACGGGTGCGCCGTGCGGAGAAGGCTCGAGAGTTTCGCCCAGCTCTCGAGCGTCGAAAAATCCAAGGTGAAGCGGGAACAATCGGCGGACAACGCGGTGCCCAACTTGAGCACCCTGAACGTCCCTTTTGGCCGCGGCATCACGGTCTCAAGGATGTCTGGACGCGCCGTGATACGCACGGTCGACAAGGCGGACCCGATCCAGAGGGATGTCTACACGTCCGTGTTCAACAACTCGCTGCTGCTGGACCTTCACCTGGTGATGCACGGCCAGGACGTGTTCTACTTCGTCAAGGACAGCACGTGGAGGTTCCACGAGGACATCACGCAGCTGCAACGATTGGGCACGGCCATCAACACGACCGTGCACCAGAGCAAGACGGACGAGGGAGCCCAGGTGTCGGACGTGAGGATCCACACGGCGCACGCCATCCTCAACATCCGCTACGGCACGGTGCCACACCGCGAGCGCCTGCGGCTGTTGTGGCACGCCAAGAAACACGCGGTGAGCCAGCGCTGGGCGCAGGAGCGGCAAGTCCTGCTCACCGACCAGCACGGCGGTGCCCTCGGCTGGACCGACAAGGACAAGGAGCACATCCTGCGCACAGGCTCGGTGCCAGGATACCGCGGGGACTACTACCACGACGTCGACTCCTTCCCCGAACTGGCGGACGACCCGTCGAACATTGTGTTTCGGAAAGTTACGAGGAAGAGGTGATCTACTGCAGAGTGAGCACAGTATGCTCCACAGCCCGTGGTACCGTTAATACGAGTGGTCGTGGTACGTCGTCGTGTGACCTTGGCGTGGAGTCTGGTGAAGTGTGGTTGTGACACTACGAGACGTTCATGGGCGAGACCATGTGTTGTTACCCCATTCTAACTCGGAATGACTCACATAGACACATTAGTGTCAGACGTGGGCGGATTGTTCGATACACTTCCGCGCTCTTACAACGATGATTCGAGTCCTGGTCTCTTATTTCGTGGGACTACGAGTTTCGCAGCTGCGTGCCAGCAAGCCTCTTCAAACGTGCGAAACTGGGTCGGTGTTCTCTCCATTCATGCCGACACTCGGGCTAGAGCTTACAGTTGTCCAGTCCACCTATCTATAAATTTGTATGCAGCTGCAGTGAATCAGGTGCCGGAGTTGGGCTACTCGTGATACTGTGCCTGGTCTAATATGAAGCCATCAGTTTGTTTACAGTTGCAATCATCAGTGGCGTCGTGACAATTGTTTGCATATAAATATATATAAATATACATATACATAATGCTAAAAAGATGTTTTTAGAAGAGTTGCGTAGTGATTTATCACGTTTGATCAGTCGACGTTTAGTCATCAGCAGGCCTCCCTGACCCATGTCGAAACGTAGAGTCACGTTCAAGCCTGAGTCGACTGACCGAATGCAATAAAGCTCTACGCAACCCTTCAAAGCGCGTCTTTTCTCCTTTATACTTTTCGTCATCCTGCGATTTCTTTCTCTTTTTAATTGTAAATATATATATTTATATATATATATATAAGCATCTCGCTGATGTGAAACTTGGGAAACCACAAAGTTTTCTTAATCCCGAGGTGCAAACATACAAACCGTGGGCAGCATGTGCGCCGTTTCCTCCTTACTTCATCACGCAGTCAAAGTTGCTGGCGCGAGCCTGGGTCTTTAGCTAAGATATGATTTTCACGCGGTGTATAAATGACACATAAAGCCACGCGCTTGCGGGAGTAGCTTTAACGGCGCTGTACACGGTATGAAATGGGGTATAAATAATAGAATATTGAGCGTCTCATCACAGATCTTGGGAAGAGAAAACAGCGGAGCAGAACCGCATTTCCAAATACCTCGAATTTCTTAGTAGTACTTTAAACCGTCTTAACGCCCTCACAAAAGCTTTATTTGGAGAGGTCGCATTACTTCCGACGGGATGAAGGCTATTATACATGGCAGAACACGCAACACCTCATTAGACGCCAACTATTTTCACTAATTTCAAAACCTTTCACGATTTCTTAAAAACTAAACGAAATAATTGTAAGATCACGTCAGTTACAAGAGTCTGGATGATTTTCTTCGTTGAATTTGTCTATGATCTATTCTGTGATTATATATATATATATATATATATATATATATATATATATATATATATATATATATATATATATATATATATATATATATATATATATATATATATTTTTTTTTTTTTTTTTTGTAGAGTCAAGAGTTTTTGATCCGCAAGTATTTCTACAGTTCGATTTATACTGAAACGCTTGTTTTGAGGAATTTACGTAACCTGGCAAATGTAATTTTAAACTCTAGGTTATCATACTCGTTCCTGAGAGCTCTATTTAGGATCAGGTATATCTGAGAGTTGATGTTCTCATTCACGTCTTAGAACAAGGGTGGTCTGAAATATTCTATGATAAATTTGACATTCGATTGTGATGTGCAGACAAGATCTGTCCGGGCTTATTTTGAGTTATACACCCGTGCGTCAATAGATATACGTGCATAATGAGTTTTTTTTTTTTTTTTTAACTTTGACGAAGGTATCAGCGATAACAAATTGCATAATATTAGGTTGTAATCATAGGGATGTATAACAGGCGAGCACATTGCTTTTAGAATGAGAAAAAAACAGACACACAGAGCAACACTGAAGATATTTTCTGTTACAGTTTAAATTGTAAGAACTTAGAAAACGTTGATAGCATTGAAAATAATGTTTAGCTTTTATTTATGAAAGTGCACGGGAAACCTGTTGAATGTTGCGTTCACGTAATGCTCGACTCTTGCAAAGTTTCTTTCCTGCTGTTGACTGTGCTCGTTTGTGAGAAATGAAAGACTTGGCTAGTGAAACCTCACGACCTTCACTGTTGTGCCTGCTTCGTGTCAAAGTTGAGAACACTGTTAACATGAGTGAGGTGTGACAGCGCGTTGAACACACCTGTGCCCAGGAGAGCTGTAGATATTATGTAAAGCTTTCCGCGGTTCTACAAGGCCAAAGTGAGTGAATTATATGCCCGGCTACTGATGTATCCAAGTGACTGTGTACGTGCGTGTGTGTGTGCACGCGCATATATCTGTATGCAGACTGGGAATAGACGATATGAACACCTTTTCCACCTTGCCTGTCGTTTTCTTTTCCTCGCATTACTTTTTTTTTTTAATGTTTATTGCGCAGAAACCAGTGTTGCGGAGTTGCCACTTTGGAATTGAAATGATTCCGGAATCATTCCGCACTTTCGCGACCCCGGAATAGAATGGAATTAGAAGTATTTTTCTCGGAGTGGAGTGGGTATGGAATGGGCTCGATTCTTATGCAAGCTGTGTTCATTTTTATCTATAGGGCCTACGGGCTAATGGTGCAATTCGTTAAGGCATGGGAAGTGGCTTTTGAAACAGCATCATTGGACTGGAGGTGTCTGATGGCTTGATTGTCTCACTGGTGTATGCTCCGTCGAGGATGAAAATGGCCCGCCCTCAGTGAAGCAACCAAAACAGTGTCGAACCAAACCGGAAACCGGAGCAAAGCCGTTATTTTTAACTGAACCGCAGCAAGACTGCAACCGAAATCAAACATTTCATATTGAACCCGAACCGGCACGGAACCGCGATATAATGTGATGGTTACCGATTCATTGGGAACGGCTCGGCGTAAAGAAATATGAACCGCGCCTTCTTCCGGGTGGCGGCGCGAAGTAAATTAAGTATTCGCGACGGTTGCGTCAGCGGCTCAGTTTTGACTAAACAAACGGCAGCAGCCGTTTGTCTAGTCAAAGGCTAAGCATGGAGGCAGCTGAATAATAATGCACCAAGTAAGTATATTTCACGTCTATGTACAACACGAATTGGCGCTGGCAAGTCGGTATGAAGGTGTACACTTGTATACTTGGTTTCACCTTAGGATGAACCGCAAAGGACGCTACGAGCTACCGGAGCCAATTCTTAGCTCGGAGCTCGGAGGCTTCCGGTTGGACGGAGCGACGTGGAGAGCGCAAAGTTACGGGACAAGCTACGAACTACAGATTGGCTCGTGTAGCTTGTAGCGTCCATCGCGGTACATTGTAATGTGATCCCGAGAGCACGGTTGGCACGGTGGCCTACAGGCCAAAAAAGTATTATTTGTGTGTGTGCGCGCGCTCACGTGCGTGCGTGTGTGTGTGTGTCTGTCTGTGCTCCATTTTTTTTTTTTTTTTTTTTTTTGCTGAGCAATATTTTTTAAGGAAGGAAAAAGCAGACATAAACGTGAAAATAAAAACAAAATTGACGGCTGTCGCGCGTCTGTTCCCCGGTGGCGAAATCTATAGCCAGCCGGCAACGTCCAGGCAGCGCCAGCAGGGTGAGAGCGCACGGTTATACCCTGTCTCGTCGTAACTTGACAAAGGGTAACCGATAAGCCCCACATTGCGTGCCGAAGGCTTCGAAATGCGCGACGTATACGAGCGCAACGAACACGTATTGGAGCATGACGCAGCGAAAAGCCTGATACTTCTCCGGAGTTGAGGCGCGCTCCGGCGATAGGCACTCGGGTTCCGATTGGCCCGCCAGGGCCGTAGCTTCCGCTCCACTGCCACGTTACGCGATCACGGCTTCCTGGGATACCCTGTGTTTTTTGCTTCAGACACTTGGCTCAGCGGCGCCACCAGAGTAAAAGCTCACGTTTGAACAATGCAGCCGCCACTCCCAGGGGTACTCAATATTTCTTGTTTCAGTTGCTAGATGGCGCCGAACCAAACAGCATTGCAGGGGCCCTAAACTCGTCAAATACAAAGTTGTAGCCGAAAGTTCGCAGAGCGTGCCGATTGGATGTCGACGAGAAAAACGCGAAGTCATTGTCGTGATTGTCCAATCGGCGCGCTCTGTCAACTTTGCCTCCAACTTTGTATTTGACGAGTTTAGGGCCCCAGGTTGTCCGGTTGTCTGAGCGTGACAGGGTGCTTCCGTTGTTAGAAAGGTGAGTCTGACACCGTATTCGCACGGGCTAAAGCGCGAGCTAATTGCTCTGGATGAAGCATCGGCAGTTGCATGTGCGCGCGTGCGGTGGTGCAGCGAGAGCGCCAGTCGAGTCACTCCAGTTACGAGAGCATCATTACAACATAAACAGAGTACCTCCGATGGGACAATTAGGTTGTATCAATTTTATACCTCATTTGCATCGCTGTCAATGCTGGTGGCGCGAGCGCGTGACTGTCGCGCCAGCAGCTTTGACAGCGTTGTACCTGGCGCCACGTATGAAGTAGGGTACAGGTAGCCTGCATGCGCGCTTTGCTTAGGGCGAGGCAGTGGCGTCACGAGGACACGAGGGTCAGCGGCTACCGGGGCAATAGCCAACACCACCTAGATCTAAAGCCGCAGCGCTTCCCTCTCTCCCTTCAAGGAGCGTCGGCGTGAGTAGGCTGAGCTGGTAGTGCGCTTCTCCGCAAGGCTCCCTTGACAGTTGGCTTCTTTGCAATGCACGTTCTCTTTTACTTTCTCTTTCCCTCTACGCTTGCACGCTTGACGCGGCGCAAACAAAAAAACAAAAAAGGCGCCACAGCGTCGCGTTTTTTTTTTCTTTTTTCTTTTTCTCCCCAACGGCCGTCCGTCGCGTTCCTTTCTTATACCCCTGTCAGACGGCAGCTAAAATGGCATTTACGCCAAATGACATTCAGGTTTTCAAATGACATTCAAGATGGGACCTGCCAGACGACAACTAAAATGACATTTAAGTGATGTCTATTACGATTGCGATCGCAAATTCGTCTCGTGCACATAGAACACGTTTTCGTTAATAAACAATTTTAACACGGCAAAACACTTGTTTTTGTGTGTGTTGTCTGCTGGGACAAGAAAATATAACAAAAAACTGGGATAGAAAGTTGCGCTCACTAGTTTCTGACAAAAAAATAAAGCGAAGCGTGGGGCGAAATCCATTAGCCAACCTAACGTCGTCATAAGCCGATCCGTAAGCCGAGCCTCCCGCGCTTTGCCAGTGCCACTACAGCTGACAGCTTGCTCGCACAGTGGCACAGTTCTTTCGTTAATTTCGGTAGTGCTTGCTTGCTCTGGTTGTCCCTCACGCTCGATCTTCGGCTGCCGTGTTCACTTCTACGTCTGCGAGGGATCCTGGATGCCGTATTGCGCTTCCGCCGTCACTATCACGGCGGTATAGATTGATCTTGGTTCGAGCGTCTCCGGCTGTTGAGAAGGCCGTCCATCGTCTTCGTCGTAGACGCATTCCGCGAGCTTCGGTTTGAAAACAGGCTACCGTACCTACTAACGTACTGCCTCTTCAAGCAGGCGTTTGGCTGATGCCGGCGACGTGATCAGGCACCTTGTGAATGTGTGTCGGTGTTACATAGAGTACTTGGTTCGCCAGGTGACTTGCGTGCACCTAACCACCCCAGTGACAAAGTGAGTCGGCGCTGCAAAGCCATACTCTCCTGCGGAGGACAGAATCATCGCCAACTTGCTCGTCGTGAGGCGAACCACTGCCAAGTGATCGCATCCCTCCGACGCGACTGGCCCAAGATCGTGAGCGCCGCCGCGACCGCTGAACGGTTAAACACACACGGGATAGCCGAACTGCCTCAGGATTCCCTCAGGTCATAGAGAATCGCTGTAGGAATGCCACCTAGGACATCAAGTTTCAGCACCAGCGGCTACCAAAGCATAATAAAAATAGTAAGTACCTCCTTTTTTTGCAAAAAAACAAGAAAAAATGTTTGAACTAGTAGAAATAATATCCCTACATGTTTTTTTAGCTCTTAGAAAATGCAGGCAATCTTGTTTCAAACTCACAAAATTAAAAAGAAAAAAAAATTCACTTGTCTTCCTTTTACTGAATGTCACTCAAAACTAACTGATATAGCTCCTGTCAGCATTCTAAAGTTATTCGTTAATTCGCTTTAATGTGAATAAAACAACTGGATTGATCATCTTCCCAATTGTGCATCCTCGATGAGGTGAAAATGACTGAATAACTGTTTCTAAATACGAGACAAGAGTGCCAGCTTCTAGCACTGTAAATAGTATGTTTAGAAGCTATAGAATGTTTGCCATTCTGTGAAGTTTCCGAGAAATGTTCCAAGCTAGCTGTTTGGTGAAATTTT